TTGAGGACTCGCTATGTATATTATCATGTCATCTGCACATAATGACAACTTTATTTCTTTCCAATTTGATTCCTTTTATATCTTTGTCCTGCCTGATTGCACTAGCTAGGACTGCCAATACAATGCTGAATAGTAAGGGTGAGAATGGTCATCCTTGCCTTGTTCTGGATCTTAGTGGAAAGGCTTTCAGTTTTTCACTACAAATGATGATGCTAGCTGTGGGTTTGTCATATATGGCTTTTATTATGGTAAGAAATGTTCCCTTTATCCCTAGGTTTTTCAGGGTTTTCATCATAAATGTTGAATCTCATGAAATCTTTCTCAGTATCTATTGGTATAACCACATGATGTAAAAGTTCATTTTGAAACCTAGGCACTATTCCACACTGTAGTTCAGTTATAAAAGTTATCCTGCATTTACCCTGCTTATTTTCATGCATTGCTCACTTAAAGGCACACCTGGACTTCATATACAGGTTCAATGACTGTCTTTCTTCTGTTCCTTTCTTCTACTCTACTCCATGTTGGTAGGTGGGAGGGTACCAACTCATTGCTAACATTTGCTTATAACAGGGTAGGTATAGTTAACAAAGCTCTATTTCAAGTCTCCAAAGTGCTTAAGAGGGAGAGGGTGAGATGTCATTTTATTAGTGGAGAGTGGGAATTGTCAGTTGGCTTTGTTGTAATCTCTTTGCTAGGTAAGGAAGGAGAGAGGGCTTCCTGTACTTGTCAGTACATAGTTGGCATATTCCATAAGGCTCTACTCCCCAGTCTTCATGGCATCCATTGAGAAAAGTGGTGGCTTCTGTCACAGCATTCTTTTGGAGTAGAGCAAATACTATGGCCTGAATTGTATCCCTCCTACAACTCATATTTTGAAGTTCTAACCCCTCAACTTGACCATATTTAGGGAAATTAAAGTTAAATGAGATTATAAGGGTAGAGGCCTTATTTAATAGGAGACTGGTATTACAAGAAGAGGAAGAGACTCCAGAGACAAAGGAACACCAAGAGGAACAAGGGGGCGGGGAGAGAGAGAGGGAGAGAGAGAATGATTTTGATTCTATGTGAAGAAATAATAGTTGGGAACTTCCTCATACTGGGAAAGGAATAAGATCAAGTAAAATCAAATAGTTTCAAAGAAAACAGAGACCCATGCTAATTAAGATGGTAAGAACTGGAGATAAAGAGAATCCTTAAAGAAATCAGAGAAAAGCAAATAGTCATGTACAAGGAAACTCCAATAAGATTATCAGGATATTTCTCAGCTGAAATTTTACAGGCTAGAAGGGTATGGCAAGACACTTTCAACTTGTTGAAAGGAAAAAGATGCCAACCAAGAAATTGCTCTCTGGCTAGGTTACATTCAGAATTGAAGAAGTGATAAAGAGCTTATGAACAACAGCTGAAGGCATTCATCGCCTCTAAAGTTGTCTTTAAAAATTTTTAAAGGGACTGCTATAAGAAAAGGGGAGAGAGAGAGAAAGAGAGAGAGGGAGAGAGAAGAAATAATGAAAAAATGGAAGAAGCAAAAGGGGTAGAGTAAAAACAAGAACCGGAATAAGGAACTCAGAAAAGAGCCATCCTTAAATTTTAAATAGTTGTAAGCATAGAACTTTATATATAAAGTACATAGGAACATCAGGATAAAAATACCTTGAAGAAACAAAGAAGATAAAAATGGAATCCAACCATTACACAAGAATTAACTTCAAAATAGAAGTGAGGAGAACAAAAGAAGAACAAAAGTACAGGGACAAATTGCAAATGAACCCAGAAAACAAATAGCTAACTGGCAATAAATTCTTATGTAGCAATAATTTCTCTAAACTTCAGTAGTCTGAATTCACCAACCAACAGCCACAGAATATCTGGCTGGATCAGAAAGCAAAACCAAAATTTCTTGTTTCTCCAGAGACTCATCTGAAGATCTACATAGACTTCAAGTAAAAGGTTAGGAAAGAGGGGCCTCCCTGGTGGCGCAAGGGGTTAAGCACATATTATGAAGCTGTCTGCAGCCTCTGCAGCATGAGTTCGATCCACGGCCAGAGAGATACCCACATGGTGCAGCAGACCTCTCCTGACTCGCCTGCTGCTCCCCTCAGCAGTGTATTTCAGTCAATTTGCCTGTTCTGTTCCCCACTCTGTCTCTGGTGAATTCTCTCACCCTCCCGTACCTCTGGCCTATACCCCAGTTCTTGTATAAATAAATAAATCTTTAAAAAGAAAAAGTTTCAGGACATAAAACATCCCTTCAGTGTTACTTTAAAAGTGAAATTGAAAAAAAAAAAATAGTTCTAAAAATAGAATTAGTACATTATTGGAGGGGCCTCCCTGAAGGCGTAATGGGTTATGACACAGACTATGAGGCTGTCCACAGCCACTGCAGCACAAGTTCAATCCCTGGCTGGCCAGGGAGCAACCCACATGGTGTGCAGCAGACCTCTCCTGACTTATCTACTGCTCCCCTCAGCAGTGTACTTCAGTCGATCTGCCTGTTCTGTTCCCCACTCCATTTCTGGTGGATCTTCTCACCACCCACACCTCTGGCCTGTGCCCCAGTTCTTGTATACATAAATAAAAAAATCTTAAAAAAAAAAGAATATATTATTGGAACAAATCCATTTTAAATTTGTCTTTCTTTTCTCAAAAAAATGGGAAAATTCAAGGAATAAGACAATATGGCTTTTTTATTTAGTCACTTATGCCTATATAAAATGTCATTAATGGAGATCTTTTTCATGTGACATTATTTTAAAGATTTAATTCATGATAAATTAGGTCTTCAGTACAAAATGGAAAACAAACAGAAACCCAAACAACTCACCTCTGAAGATAAAACAACACCCCCCAAAGAAACTATGATTTCAGAATCTCTTTTTATGAAATACATGCAGATGATTTCTCATGCAGATGATTTCTCATCTGCATAGTTAATCTTTGCAGATCTTCAAAATTTACAGGAAAAAAAGCAGATGGAATTATCCAGGTAGCAATCCTTCAAATTAGAAACATCAACGCTGAACTAATTCTCAGCAATTAAACAGTTTTGAAGTTAGTTAAAAACTGTAAGTTAGTTTCTGAACAAAGTAAATTCATATAGGAAAGGATTATACTACCCACGATATCTGTTTTTTCTACTATATTTCAAGATTATGCTGAATTCTCTTAGACACACATCTCCCTTTCAAGTATAGGGCAAATTCTTATCCAGTAATTTAAAGAACACAGAGATACACTGAATTCTATACTTCAACCCTCATGTATCCCAAAAGAACAAAAAAGAAACCCTGGGATTTAATCAGTTTTTTCCCCCCCAGAAACACATCAAGAGTTAAGACAGACTTTTATCTTATTTTTCCTGTAGAGTTACTCTGTTCACAGCTGAGTAAATTGTTGATATTGTTGTTATTACAAAAAGTAAAGAAATTTAAGTTAAACATATGACAGTTTCAAAGAGAAAATGTTGATTAAAAACTTATATGGTAAAAATGTAAATTGGATATTCTTCTAAGGATGAATAATCATAGACTTAATTTAACATGCAGTTTCATATTCTTTTGAATAGGTTTAATGTCCAAAATAAAGCAATTTATATTTCTTTGTTTTTACATGCCACTGTAACTTTAAAAGCAGTAATAATCATATTGAATACAGAAATTTCTTTTGTTAAAGCAAATTTCCTTCACACACACAGGTTAAAAGTGTGCATATTACAGAGCAGGATGATTATTTCCTTGAAAAATTCTACAATTACAATGTGGAGCGAGGATAAATCAAGACCCTCTGGAAAAGTTAAATGCAGACTCTCCATAATTTTCTATAAATATTTTAGGGATGCTCACTAAAATGTATATTTCTCTAAAAAGTCATATTTTGAGACAACATTGTTTGGTCTTAAAAGCGACAACAGGTCTGGTTTTTCACAAGGGAAGTTGAAATTGCATCATGAGCTTGGTAAGTGAATGTAGAGCTAAATCATCACTAATTTCAGAATTGAGAAATGAATCAATACTCAAAAATGATGGATAAAAATGATATAGGCGGCAAGAAAGACTAAGAAACCAGAAACACAACTAATTGTGATATGATAACAAAAAGCTATTAAAATTTAGAAAAAGTCATCTTATGGAATCTGCCAAGATTCACACTACTTCTGAAATTAAACAATGTACTTTATCCACTGGAATCTTGATTTAAGGGAAAAAAACTGCACCAACTTCAAATCACTGCTAATGCAATAAACATAATCATACATTTTATATATGCAAATAGTTTTTAAAATCATGTAATTTTCAATGTCATTACAAAACATAGCAACAGGCAACATTTACTGAAAGTAAAGTCAGGATATGCTAATTATTTTACTGTTCCATTCTTTTTGCCACAATTTCTTCTACAATGCCATGAAAGAGATAACAATTACTGGTCTCATTTCATGGATGAGGAGCTTAGTTTTTCTGCCCAAGGTCACACAGGAGGTAAGTGGACAAACTGAGACTGAAACCTAGGCTCTTGGCTCCACCACCACGGCTTTTAGTTTCACTAGGACCAATGATGATGTGTTACTAGACTTAAAAGTTTTCAGTGACTCAAAACTTAAAAAAATGCTAAAGATGATAAAACGCATGTAACAGTTAATTAACTTTAGAAAGCAGAGAGTATGACAATTTGTTTTCTCAGTGTCTTAATATAAAATGTCTATTCCCTACTCATTTTCTTATAAAAAGTTTTGAACTGTTAGACATCAAATTTTGTTGACTGAAAAATAAGTTTTTAACCTTGGATTAGATGTTCATTTCTGTTCTATACAAATAAATCTGTGAATAAGAACTCGCGTTCAAAACAGCTGGGAGAAGTTCAGGACAATGTAAAGAAGCACTAAGTGAGCTCATGGTATTCCTTATTTAATGGGTAGAAGCCAAATTTAGGTGCTATTTCTTGTTGCAAAATGCCACAGTGAAAACTTCACAAATACTGACTTTTCTTAATTTCCGTACCTTCCAGACGTATTCTTCAGGATGGCAAGAGCGTCAGGATAGCCATCCATATTGTAGTCTCCAATATGAAGGGTGATTGGAATTGGTATTTCAGTAGGTCGCTGTTCGTGCACAAATGGTACAAAGCCCCAAAGTGTGCCCTTATTGCTGAAATCCTGTAGGACTGGAACCCACTATGGATTTAGAGGAAAAAGATTACATTTTAGAAGAAAATTCACCACTTGCAAAACAAATGACCCATTAGAAGTTCTCAAGCTAAACATCATTTTACTTGAGCTCTTTAACTCTACAATATATTAGGGTATAATAATTTACTTTGATGGACAGATGGCTAACACGCTGGAGACAAAAGTCTTTAAAACATATCATTCATCTTTCTTTCAACTGGCACAACTATTTGTCTTAGGTCTGTCCTAGAAATATAGAATTTAAGGATTTAACTGATATTAGTTATCAGATAGTTGAATTGACCATTTAAAAACATGTGTCGAGTAGAAATATAGCCTCAAATGAATTTTCAAAAAACTAGAGCAAACTGGAATATCATCTATTACGGATGTACTTTTAGTATGACCAACTCAAAAAGAAAGTTAGACTATGTCATCTCCCTTGTTCTCCTGCTGTGCATGAGGCGGACCTTAGTCACTCTCCTTAGAGACAAGCAGCTCTGAGGCTTTGCAGACACTACCAAGCCTGGCAAGCTCTGCCTGCCCAGGAGAATGAGCTTTATTATCAAAACAGCTGGAAGCCACATTTTTACTACATTCTTTATTTCTATATGATCATAATAAAGAGAACTGAGAGAATGGGTTGATTTCAAAATGAACTTTTGGAAATCCCTTCTCTTCTGAATGACCAACTCTATTTCTTTGAATAACCTGAAAAATCTGAAGAGTAGAAATCATGCCACAAAAGTGTAGATGTGCCCATAATTAGCAGGAGGTCAACTATCAGACTTATCTTTTTTATAAGCAGGTGACTAATTTATATGGCTCTATGCCAAACTACATTAAAAACAGCTTCTTGAAAAATAGTTTAATATACAAATATCCCCAACATTTTATAGGTTATCCAAAGAAGGCATAATTTGCTAAGGGAAAAAAATAGCTTAATAATAAAGACATATTTACAGGAAAAGGAGCTGTTCTAAAAAACTGATTTACATCTTTGATCAATTTTTCAATCTTATAGTAGAAAAGCATTAAGTATCATTAAAATGTTTTCATATTTCATTTAACTTTGAAAAAAATTGTTGGTTTTGTTTTGGAAGAAGATGGAAAATTTAACAAAATGCCAAGTTACTACAGATTTCTGAAGAGGTTGACAGTTTATTAACGAGGATAAAGTATTCGGTTAAGGTAAACGCATTAAGGTCTAAAAAGTAAAATGATTTTTCATATAATGCGACATCCTTAACAGTCACCAAAGAACTGTGACATTTATCTTACCAGAGAGAAATGACTATATAATTTGAAAATATTCTCAAAGTACTCTGTCACTTGTGGACAGGCTATAATTATTAGGTTTACTTATCCCTGATAACCAACGATGAGATGTTACTTGACCTAATGTTTTCAGTGACTCAAAATAGTCACTCCTACATTCATACAGAATTATAGTCATTCACACAGAATACAGGCTGTTATGAGGAATTGTTTTCTTAGTGTCTTAGTACAAAATGTGATGGTTCCTAACTATAAGGGCTATAGAAATTTACATGTTACAGTATTATTTATTACCTTGAAAAAGAATATAAAACTAATTTTTTATTAGTTTTTCTCTAGATACAGAGAAAACCATTATAAAAAACCACTACATTACTGGTTTCCTTTTAGGTGTTATCAATATGGGAAAATTCTCAATGTCACAACCTTTAATTTCCATATTAATTCTTCCCTATGATAATCAGATTCTAAATTGTTTATTCATAAGCTATAGGTAAAAACTCAATATAAGAAAATGAAATAGGGGCCTCCCCTGGTGGTGCAGCAGTTGAGCGCTGGGCTGCGAAGTTGCACACAGCCTCTGCAGCGCCAGTTCGATCCCCGGCTGTAGGCGAGGGTCCCACATGGCGCACAGACCTCTCCTGCCGCGCCCGCTGCTCCCCTCAGCAGTGTATTTCGTCAGTCTGCCTATTCTGTTCCCTGCTCTGGCTCTGGTGAATTCCCTCACCCTCCCACGCTTCTGACTGTACCCAGTGCTTGTATAAAATTAAAAAAAAAAAAAAAGGAAAATGAAATAGGTCTAGATAACACACATGAAAACAGGTATGTTCTATATGAAATATTTTTTATAGTTATAGTATACTTTACTCAGCATGTAAAATGCAAACAGACCACTTAATCTGGACCAAGGGAGTATCCTTTACCAAAAATGATTATAAAGAGTACTTGTGTCCCTGCAACAAACCCTAAAAGTTAGATTTAAATACATCCCATTAAATTAAAATGAAGAAGTTAATTTATTTTTGGTTTCTCTCTGTTCTGATTCTTTGGATAACTTTTCTAACCTCCGAAAATATTTTTCAAGCACATAATTATTTATATTAAAACCAGTTTACATACCTCTTTTGTTCCAGATTTAAGCAAATAGATGATGCTTTTTTGGCAGTTTTTATCTTCACAGCCTGGCAGTAAATGATCCATGTGTCCATCTCCATCTGCCAAAAGAAACTTCAAGAGTACATCAACAGCCACAAAATTATGTGTTCTTGTTTCACAGGTTAATTTCCTATTGTTCAAAATCCTTATCAATACGGATAAAACTGAAGTATTTGATGCTTTTGATTCAATATAAAAAAATTATTCTGGCCCTTGCTACCTATTCTGTGGCCTATGTCTTGTTTTAAATTGCACACATTCTTGTGATTAAATATTTATCCAGTGATGGAAAAGACCCCATTCCAGCCTTTAATATTAAAATCATTAATCTTAAGAAATACAGCTTTTGACTCATTTACATAATTATTATTGTTGCCACAGAAGAGTAAGCAAGTTAGTGGTAAGCCATTATTATAATGCTTATTTTAATTGTGTCCTTACATTTATCTTTTCATATATGTATTTTTAATTGATACATAATTGACATATTATATTGGTTTCATGTATACAACATAAATACATAGTTACAAATTCTTTTCCTTGTGATCAGAACTTTTAAGACCTACTCTTTCAGTAAAGTTTAAATACACTATACAGTAATATTAACTATAGTCACCACGCTGTATATAATATCCCTTTATTTATTTTATAACTGAAAATTTGTACCTTTTGACCAAATCTGCCCATTTTGCTCACGTTGTAATCCCTGACTCTGGCATTCAGAACCAATCAGCTCTCTGTATCAAGAATGTTTTTCTATTTTTTTAAAATTGAGGTAAGGTTGGTTTACAACACTGTATATGATTCAGAAGTATAGGATTACACTTCTTCATTTGTCTGTTACCACACCGTATCTACTACCATAACCCTGGATTGTACTTCACTGGCCCTCCATGCCTTGTTCTTCACCTTTTCCTTCCACCTGGCCCCACAAGTAGTCTCAGTGCTTCAGTTTGATTTTGAGGGTTTATTTTTAGTTTTGTTTTGTTTCTCTGTGTTCCACATATAAATGAAACTATCTGGTATTTGACTTTCCCATTCTGACTTCATTGAACAAAATTCCCTCCAGTTCCACCAATCATCAAGGTTGTCTAAAATGGCAATATTTCATCTTTTTCTTTTTATAGCTAAGTAGTATCTTATTGTGCATATATATCACATCTTTTTAATCCATTCACTTGTCCTTGGGCACTTAGGTTGTTTTTATAAATTGGCTACTATAAATAATGCTGCAGTGAGCAGAGGAGTGCATATATCCCTTCCAATTAGTGTCTTTGCATCTGTTGTGTGGATACCTAAGAGCAGAATTGCTGGATCACATGGTAGATAATACTTAAAGAAACATTCATACTGTTTTCATATAGGCTGAATCATTCTACATACTCAACAACAGGGTACAAAGTTCCTTTTTCTCTTCATCTTTGCCAATACTTGTTATTTCTGGACATTTTGATATGGGCCATTCTCACGGTTGTGAGATGGGATTTCACTGTGGATATGTTTGCATTTCCATTTCCTGATGATAATTATAAATTTTTTTTTATCATGTGCCTGTTGGCCATCTGTATGTCTTCTTTGATTTTGCTTTTATGCCCACTTTTTGATTGGGGTTTTCATTGTTGCTCTTTTTGAGTTGTTTGAGTTCTTTATGATACTAGCCTTTTGTCATATGCATAATGTGTAAATATTTTCAACCAGGCAGTAAGGAGTCTTTTCATTTTAATGGTAGTTTCTTTTGCTGTACAGACACTTTATAGTTTGAGGGAGTTCCATTTGTTTATTTTAACTTTCATTTCTCTAGCTGTTGCAGTTGAGTCCCCAAAGACATTTTTGATGCTAATGACATAGAATTATTTGCTTCTGTTTTCATCTAAGTACTTTATGGTTTCAGGTCTTACATCCAAGACTTTAATACTTTGTAAATTTTGTAGGTGTGAGGCAGTGGTCTTGTTTATATTTTGCATGTTGCTATCCAGTTTTACCAACACTATTCCTTTTAAAGAGACCACCTTAACTGATAGATTAATTGCTCATATAAGTGTTGGGTTTATTTCTATTGCATTGGTCTGCATATTTACTTTTATTTCAGTAACATTCTCTCTTGATTACTCTTGCATTTTATTGAGAGTATAGTTTGAAGTGCAGGAGTGTGATACCACTGTTCTTCCCCTTTTTGGAAGGATTGATTTGTCTATTTGGGTCTTCCATGGCTCTATATGAATTTCAGTAATGTTTATTATATTGTTTGAAGAATGTTATCAAAAGTTTAATAGGGATTGCTCTGAATCTGTATATTCTTTGGGGAATTTGGCTGTTTTAGCACCATTAATATGTTTTTAATAATTTATTTTCTTACATTGTTGTTAGTTTTTGGACAGTATTTGATTCCTCCCCTCAGTTGTAGTTCCTGTAATTCTCCCACCACCACAGCATCCATGATCCATCACGACAGTCCCTTGTGCTGCTACTCCTATTTTGATCTCTCTCCCTTTCCCTCTTCTGCTGAATGCCTCAGATCTATAATCAGCTTGCAAGTTCTGTCTTCTTTTCTGATCCATTGGCTTCTCTATATTATGCATATAAGGGAAATCATCTGATATTTATCTTTTACCTTCTGATTTATTTTGCTTAGCATAATCCCTTCTAGTTCCCTCCATGTTGCCATGAATGGCATGAATGAGGTCATCTTTTTTGATTGCTGAGTATTATTCCATTGTGTATATATACCACATCTTTTTTTAATCCATTCTCCTGTTTTGGGGCATTTAGGTTGTTTCCATATCTTGACTATTGTAAATAGTGCTGCAATAAATACAGGAGTGCAGGTTTCCCTTTGAATTAATGTTATTGTGTCCTTGGGGTAGATTCCTAGGAGTGGAATTGCTGAGTCATATGGTAGATCCAATTTTAGTGTTTTGAGGAAGCTCCACACATCTTTCCATAGGTGGCTAAATCACTTTACACTCCCACCAGTGTAAGGGGGGTCCTTTTTCACCATATCCTCACCAGCATTTGTTGTTTCTGTTCTTTTTTTTTTTTTTAAATATGGGCCATTCTCACAGGTGTGAGGTGGTATTACACTATAGTTTTGATGTGCATTTTGCTGATAATAAGTGATATAGAACATTTTTTCATATCCGTGTTGGACATTTATATTTCCTCTTTGGAGAAGTGTCTTTTTAGGTCTTCTGCCCATTTTTTGATTGGGTTTTTTGCTTTGTTTTTGTCAAATGGTAAAGCAAGAGAATTACTGGCACAGAAATATATCACATTACCATGTGGAAAGTGTAAATTCTTTAAAATATTCACTTGCAAATGATATAAATGACAGAATTATTAACATGTACATCAGTTTAGTTATTTTGCTTTAGATGTTAAATAGTATAAGGTTAAATATTCATTTATACTCTTATAAATATGATATTAATATTTACTTACATGATTAAAGACAATTCTACAAAGTGCCAGGGTCATAACAGAATTTTTATGACAAACAAATATTCTAAGAGTATGCACATGATCATAATAGAAAACAGTTATTCTTTAAGATGTTGCTGATTACTAACAGGGTAATACCTGAAATGCAAGGTGGAACCAAAAGAAATATTTACCAAATTTGCATTAATGTAAGTATAGGCTCTGTGAGCAGTTGGTAGTGAAATGAGACTTTCATAATGACATTCTTCCCTCCTGTCAATTCTATTTTTTTTAAAGATTTATTTATTTATGCATACAAGAACTGGGGTATAGGCCAGAGGTGTGGGGGGCGGGGGTGAGAGGATTCAGCAGAGACAGAGTGGGGAACAGAACAGGAGGATCTACTGAAACACACTGCTGAGGAGAGCAGCAGGACAGTGAGGAGAGGTCTGCTGCGCCATGTGTGTAGCTCCCTGGTTGGGGATCGAGCTCATGCTGTGGTGGCTGCAGGATAGCTTTATAGGTTGAGTCTTAATCCCTTGTGCCACCAGGGAGGCCCCCTGTCAATTCTATTTATTGCTGTTATTGAAATGATAAAATATTTTTCCTCATAATTTCAATCCCTAAATTAATGTCAGGCTTCAATAATAACTTCAGAGTACTTATCTACTAATGCTTTGCTGAAGTTTTGCTGAAAATACTGATTCTTTGACTACTATGGCTCAATGATTTTTTTCCTAATTAAGATTTTTATAAAGCCAAGCCAGGACCTATTTTACTCCCTGTTCTGAGTTTCCTCTGGTCTCTGTAATATTTACACAGAGATAAAAACTGATTTTTAGTGAGTGAGTAGGGAGTAAAAGGGGGTAAAGAAGCCCAATTTCAGTCCAGGATCAACAAGTACTATTGGTAAGTATGTACACGATGATGGAAATGTCTCATGAACATTCTACACTGCAATGGCCTTATAATTTTACCTTTTAAAGTTTGGATGAGGGTGAGGAGAGGAATACTGGACCACATTATTGTTAAGTTTCTTATGATTAAATATGAAGCTCTATGTCTATTGTTTTAGATAAATTTAAAAAAGTGTTGTGAAGTTACAATTCTTTTTAGCTTTCCTTACCAAAAGTGAACACCATGTTTATTTAACTATGCATGGACACAGTATAATTTTTAAAATAATTTTCATATATCATATGAAATGAACAGAAATATTCCTATTAAGAATGATTTAATATTTTGGGTCTATCTTTAAAAATCTAACCATATATTATTTAAAATCATATATGCATATAGCAGAAAAAGATTTATGTCTATTCTACTTGTTGTACAACTGATTAGCTTACTTTAAACACCCTCCTTATTTTTCACTGAGTAATATTTAGAGTACTACTTTGTCTATTGCCTTCTGAGTGCTTTCAATATAACATGAAATTGCATGTATGGGATTATTTTAAGATTAGTTCATTTAAATGAAAGATTTCAATGGTCTTTAATCCTACTAATAAAGAAACCCATTAAGACAAATTACCCGCTAAGTCAAACCTATAATCTGAATTCCAAAAATAAACAAGAAACCTAAAAAAAATCCTATTTTTTACTTAATACACTTATTACTGCCTACCCCATAGGGGAGAGG